AAGAAATAGTTTGTTGGATGTATGTGTCGATCAGTATAAAAGAAATAGTTTGTTGGATGTATGTGTCGATCAGTATAAAAGAAATAGTTTGTTGGATGTATGTGTCGATCAGTATAAAAGAAATAGTTTGTTGGATGTATGTGTCGATCAGTATAAAAGAAATAGTTTGTTGGATGTATGTGTCGATCAGTATAAAAGAAATAGTTTGTTGGATGTATGTGTCGATCAGTATAAAAGAAATAGTTTGTTGGATGTATGTGTCGATCAGTATAAAAGAAATAGTTTGTTGGATGTATGTGTCGATCAGTATAAAAGAAATAGTTTGTTGGATGTATGTGTCGATCAGTATAAAAGAAATAGTTTGTTGGATGTATGTGTCGATCAGTATAAAAGAAATAGTTTGTTGGATGTATGTGTCGATCAGTATACAAGAAATAGTTTGTTGTATGTATGTGTCGATCAGTATAAAAGAATAGTTTGTTGTATGTATGTGTCGATCAGTATACAAGAAATAGTTTGTTAAAGCAGGATTTATGACTAGTCCACTCTGTCGACTTTGAAATTCTGAACAAGAAGCAAACGTTCATGTTATTTATCTAATATTTTATTGTATTTTCTTTTATTTTCAAAAAGATTTTTTTTATAATACAGTGTAGTCATACATATATTATATATTTGTGTAAAATGTACAAAATAACTAACAATAATGTTAGATAAAAAAAAAATATCATGCCACTCAATCATCTTTCATACCAGCACAAACTTAATGTTTTAAATAATGATAAATGACATATAAATCGTACATTGTTTCGGGAACGGTATAGGAATGAATGTCCAAAAAACCTTTTAATTCCATATCTTTCCTATTGAAACAAAAAAGAAGAGAAAAAGGTACAAAAAACAAAGATACTATTTTTTTAGAACAAAACAAGCGACACATTTAAATAACAATATACTGAACGTCACAATATCGTGTCGCCTTTGTTATTTGCTTTACCTACCATATTCACATCTCAACACTTTTGTAATGTTTCACTAAAGATGACGTGATAGCCAACTATTAAATGTCTGTGCTTACCATCTTTACCACTTTGATCGTGTTGATGAAACATTACTATTTCATTTACATTATAACTTGAATCAGGTCATCTTTATAACATATATAAACAATATGTGATAGAAATTAATCACAACACAAATCAATTCTAACGCACAATTCATAAATGTGTCTCATAGGAAAATGTAATCACCGGGGTTACATTATAGAATCATGAAGTCAAAAAGTGTAAAATAAAAGCGCAAATATAGTCGAATATTTGAACGTACCATGTTTCTGTGTTTTCTATGGAAACTTGTCATTCATCATGACTGACTAAGATAAGTAATTATTCCTCGACTTTGACTTTTGCATCATTCTTGACACTTGTTCATATGAAATACTGCTTTCCACTGTATTCCAGACGTCCGAATCAGGTGTTACATCCGATGTCGCCTCCAATCCGTATGACGTTAAACTATTTACGTGAAAATCTGTCTGACAGTCACTAACATCAGGGACCTTCGGAAAATTTGCACTCACGTCTGCCATGTTGGCGAAACCTGCCAGTTTTACAGATGTCTCAGAAGCTGCCTCTAAATATAAATTATTCCTCTGCAACTTTTTGCCCCTGATGCCTTTTGAATCCATTTTAGCCTGAGCTCGGCGCGTCATTTCATCGTCATTTATTTGATTTCCAGCCGCTATTTCTTTTTGTACCTCTTCGTCCACTTCATCCATCCATCGTTCTAGTGATATTTCTTCCTGGGCCCCTCCGATGATTACCTGGGTGAGGGCCTTAGCCCCCCTGAGTGGAATGCACTGTGCTCCTGTCAGATAAGCGATAGCTGTGAAAAATTCCTTGTATTGATTGATAGGCGGTTCACAACCAACAAAATATAGAGTGATTCCCTTAGCTGCGAGTTCCCTCACAATATTCATAGGGTCCAGTCCTTTAGGACAGCCATTGGGAAACTCGTCTCCATGCGGAGACAGGCCATGGGGTGGGGCATCTGAGATCAGAACACATATCTTTGTAGCATTCTCCCTCCAGGAAAGTTTAAGCATGTCGTACAGAGCATCGGCCACAGCCTCGGGAAAATCACCTCCTCCTTGTGCACTGCAGTCATCCAACCATGACTTCATTTTTGAAACAGAGGAGGTGAAGTTATGTCGGCGCGTCACAAATGTTCGATCTTGAGGAGGATGGTCACGGTACTCCACCAAGGCTAAATGTACGTCACTTTTTTCACTGGACACAATTTCCTCCACAATGGTGCGGATACTGTTCCGGGCAGTCTCTATGTAACTTCCCATACTAGATGTACAGTCCATAGCGAAGGCAAGATCCAACACGGAACAGTCGTGTTTCTCTGGTAACGGTTGTGAAGGTACACCGTATACTTTCATTTTAACTTTGTCCTTCTCTGGAGTTATAACGCTTTTCAACATGCTGAGGAAGTTAGCCTTCTTCATTATCAGATATCAGTGCACTGTAGTTATCAAATATTCGTAGTTGATTTAGAAGAATCCCTGGATTTTAGGTAGGACTCTCGTTAATATACCATATACCAGCACAAACTTAATGTTTTAAATAATGATAAATGACATTTACATCGTACATTGTTTCGGGAACGGTATAGGAATGAATGTCCAAAAAAACCTTCTAATTCCATATCTTTCCTATCGAAACAAAAAAAAAAGGAAAAAGGTACAAAAAACAAATATACTATTTTTTCAGAACAACACAAGAGACACATTTAAATAACAATGTATTGAACGTCACAATATCGTGTCGCCTTTGTTATTTGCACAGGTTTTAAAAAATGTGTATAATAGCTGAATATAGATCTAGTCGTCACTATGCTAAAAATAAATAGTGGATGTAGAAAATAAAGTTAGAAACGGTTTGTGACGTCCGGGCTATTTATTATCCGGGCTTAACGCGTTGTATTAAGGAAAAATTGCATGGTGTTATTGGTAATTTTAATTTTTAAGTTCCGTTTTCAATTTTTTCAAGCATTAATGTGAGGTGAATCTCATGATTATTTTACACGCATATTTAGTGAAGGTACCTGATACTTTTTATATTGGTTGAAGCCACACCTATTTCACCCCCCCCCCCCCCCCCCCCCCCCCAGCTCCATAGCCACTTTATAAAATCAAGTTATATGAAATTATTTAAGCTATTTCGTACTACAGCAATCATTTTTTGTGACAAAACAAGTAAATTGACCTAAAGGTTAACAAACAAAGGTGTTAGAATATGGCATTCAAAACAGGTTTTCTACAATACACAGTAAGAAAACGGACGATAACTAGTTACTTGGTGGTATTCAAAATTGTGCATAGTGTCTTTATTAGAAATAATAATCTGCAGATTACTTATTTCTAAATTGAATAACTTCTTACATTTTATTTACAACAAACCTATTGTCAGATCTGATATTTTTTATAAGTATGCGTAACAAGCTGTTTTTCTTTCTAAAAATGGAATAAACTCTTGACACTCGATAACAAATAACAGAATCAATCAATATTGAATTTTATCTCATTTCAATACTGAATTTAATCAATGTGTTCTTCATAAGTCTACGACAAAAACTGGTTTGTTTGAGATGGTGACCTGGATTACATGTTGCATGTTGAAATAAACTTCCAACACATTCAGAAATATAATGTGGTCAAATAAATAAGGGAATTACCACGGGTACAATATCATGAGATGAGTTGACCTTCAGATTTTGTATCTGTGTTTGCAAGGTTTAGACAGAAACGACTCTATAATTTGATATAATCCTAGGGTGTTGTATTTATGGATACATGACGTCACCAATGAGTGGGTTATAAGTAAAAGTTATATCTAGACAGATAAATGGTTAGCCATCGCAGTCATGTTGACGTTCAATCTCGGAACAGGCACAGATCAAGGTTAAGTCTGTGACAATATTTTTCAAAATAATAGACCAGTGAAAGACATGGGTGAGTACGTGACAATATATTCAAACTTCACAACAGGGACAGGCTGACAAGAGGACACACAGACACCTTTAAATAACGATAAAAGCTAACATTTTGAGGATTCAGCAACAGTGCGACAATGTCAGGAACAGTCATCCCTATTATTAATAAATTGATATCTACAAACGTCACTGGTTTGTGTTGTTTGGTAATGCTTTAAACATAAACAAATATTGATGAAATGTAAATTGTAAATATTAAAGCAATGGTTCTAAAATATATATAACACTGATTTCAGTTTATGTTAAATATTGAAACAACGTTTATAACATCTACATAACACTGATTTTAGTTTATGGTAAATATTGAAACAATGTTTATAACATCTACATAACACTGATTTCAGTGTATGGTAAACATTGAAACAATGTTTATAACATCTAAATAACACTGATTTCAGTGTATGGTAAATATTGAAATAATGTTTATAACATCGATACAACACTGATTTCAGTGTATGGTAAATATCGAAACAATGTCAAAACAGGGCAACAGAAACCAAATATGCTACTTAAAGAAACGTAACGTTTGTATTTTTACGACGACCCAATTGGCCATGTCCGGTGTAGGAGAATAACATTTCGATAACTACGGGATGAGATCACTATTTTGAAAATATGATGATCGAAGACAACAAGACAAAAATTCAATAAAAAGAATAAATAGGTACAGAACCTGTACTCGTTTTTACAATTTGTTTTCAGTCGTAACTACTTATAAGTTGTTTACGCAGTCTTTTAATGCAAGGGAGGTAACCCGTGATGTATTATACATAACTGGCACGAATTATGTCCGTAATAAGTATTTCACGTTATAAACTACGCTTTTAATCATTGCTCTGATATATGGTTAACTATGAGTTGCTGTTGGTTTCTATGTTGTGTACCAGGTGTTGAATTACTCTAGTCTTTTACATACAATTACAAAGTTATAATATAGTAAGGGTTTGTGGTTGCACTGTATACATTGGTTAATAATTCTCATAAATAACAACGAAAAGAAATTAAAATACAATTTATTTATTTTTTTCATAAATGTTGGCGGATCGGTAGAGTGGTAAACACTCCGGCCTTCCAAGCAGTCGGCCGGGGTTTGATCTCCGAAGTCGCCGTACGCATGGAATATTCAGAGAAAGTGTTTTGCTCCTGCCCACACAACTCCAATAACCCAGGTGGAGTATAAAATGGTCTGGGGTGGGTGTTGCGGTATTTGTGCTGTAGCATTCAAGTTAGGTGGCACTATAAATGATACCGTTGGAAGCACGGTCCCCTCTACAAACAGAACACAATACATATCCAGCACACACCCACAGGCATACACACATAGGGAGATATTAGCCAGGTGGCATAGGACTAGTAGTTAGCGCCTGATAAGGCAGCTCCTGCGAATTCCTCAATATTGTATTGATTAATATATATGCAAACCGTATTGACTGTATAAAATTGTATATTTATGTACTGTAAAGCGCTTTAGAGTGGCTTATGTTAGCTAGATAGGGCGCGATATCAAATGTTGTATATTTATGAAATTAATATTTTTGAAATTTTATTATAAATCACACTATAATTTTACTATACTACAAAGATAAACATAAAACACAAACAAACACACACACAGGCGACTGCACCTTAAACTTTGGTAATAAATACAGAATGTCGTGAATATATTTATGCAAAATATTGATAGTAAGGCCAAAGCGTCAAAATCACTACAAAGTTAATAAACAAATATCTATGGTTTAGAATTATTCTGTATGTAAGCAGTATAACATTCACCAACTCGGACAACTCACAAACCTCAGAAGGAAACGGGCAAATCACAGGCAATGCACTATAATCCTGATAACCCAGTTAAATAGAAGGAAACAGGCAAATCACAGGCAATGCACTATAATCCTGATAACACAGTTAAATAGAAGGAAACGGGCAAATCACAGGCAATGCACTATAATCGTGATAACCCAGTTAAATAGAAGGAAACGGGCAAATCACAGGCAATGCACTATAATCGTGATAACCCAGTTAAATAGAAGGAAACGGGCAAATCACAGGCAACACACTATAATCCTGATAACCCAGTTAAATAGAAGGTAACGGGAAAATCACAGGCAATGCACTATAATCCTGATAACCCAGTTAAATAGAAGGAAACGGGCAAATCACAGGCAATGCACTATAATCCTGATAACCCAGTTAAATAGAAGGAAACGGGCAAATCACAGGCAATGCACTATAATCCTGATAACCCAGTTAAATAGAAGGAAACGGGCAAATCACAGGCAATGCACTATAATCCTGATAACCCAGTTAAATAGAAGGAAACGGGCAAATCACAGGCAATGCACTATAATCCTGATAACCCAGTTAAATAGAAGGAAACGGGCAAATCACAGGCAATGCACTATAATCCTGATAACCCAGTTAAATAGAAGGAAACGGGCAAATCACAGGCAATGCACTATAATCCTGATAACCCAGTTAAATAGAAGGAAACGGGCAAATCACAGGCAATGCACTATAATCCTGATAACCCAGTTAAATAGAAGGAAACGGGCAAATCACAGGCAATGCACTATAATCCTGATAACCCAGTTAAATAGAAGGAAACGGGCAAATCACAGGCAATGCACTATAATCCTGATAACCCAGTTAAATAGAAGGAAACGGGCAAATCACAGGCAATGCACTATAATCCTGATAACCCAGTTAAATAGAAGGAAACGGGCAAATCACAGGCAATGCACTATAATCCTGATAACCCAGTTAAATAGAAGGAAACGGGCAAATCACAGGCAATGCACTATAATCCTGATAACCCAGTTAAATAGAAGGAAACGGGCAAATCACAGGCAATGCACTATAATCCTGATAACCCAGTTAAATAGAAGGAAACGGGCAAATCACAGGCAATGCACTATAATCCTGATAACCCAGTTAAATAGAAGGAAACGGGCAAATCACAGGCAATGCACTATAATCCTGATAACCCAGTTAAATAGAAGGAAACGGGCAAATCACAGGCAATGCACTATAATCCTGATAACCCAGTTAAATAGAAGGAAACGGGCAAATCACAGGCAATGCACTATAATCCTGATAACCCAGTTAAATAGAAGGAAACGGGCAAATCACAGGCAATGCACTATAATCCTGATAACCCAGTTAAATAGAAGGAAACGGGCAAATCACAGGCAATGCACTATAATCCTGATAACCCAGTTAAATAGAAGGAAACGGGCAAATCACAGGCAACGCACTATAATCCTGATAACCCAGTTAAATAGAAGGAAACGGGCAAATCACAGGCAACGCACTATAATCCTGATAACCCAGTTAAATAGAAGGAAACGGGCAAATCACAGGCAATGCACTATAATCCTGATAACCCAGTTAAATAGAAGGAAACGGGCAAATCACAGGCAATGCACTATAATCCTGATAACCCAGTTAAATAGAAGGAAACGGGCAAATCACAGGCAATGCACTATAATCCTGATAACCCAGTTAAATAGAAGGAAACGGGCAAATCACAGGCAATGCACTATAATCCTGATAACCCAGTTAAATAGAAGGAAACGGGCAAATCACAGGCAATGCACTATAATCCTGATAACCCAGTTAAATAGAAGGAAACGGGCAAATCACAGGCAATGCACTATAATCCTGATAACCCAGTTAAATAGAAGGAAACGGGCAAATCACAGGCAATGCACTATAATCCTGATAACCCAGTTAAATAGAAGGAAACGGGCAAATCACAGGCAATGCACTATAATCCTGATAACCCAGTTAAATAGAAGGAAACGGGCAAATCACAGGCAATGCACTATAATCCTGATAACCCAGTTAAATAGAAGGAAACGGGCAAATCACAGGCAATGCACTATAATCCTGATAACCCAGTTAAATAGAAGGAAACGGGCAAATCACAGGCAATGCACTATAATCCTGATAACCCAGTTAAATAGAAGGAAACGGGCAAATCACAGGCAATGCACTATAATCCTGATAACCCAGTTAAATAGAAGGAAACGGGCAAATCACAGGCAATGCACTATAATCCTGATAACCCAGTTAAATAGAAGGAAACGGGCAAATCACAGGCAATGCACTATAATCCTGATAACCCAGTTAAATAGAAGGAAACGGGCAAATCACAGGCAATGCACTATAATCCTGATAACCCAGTTAAATAGAAGGAAACGGGCAAATCACAGGCAATGCACTATAATCCTGATAACCCAGTTAAATAGAAGGAAACGGGCAAATCACAGGCAATGCACTATAATCCTGATAACCCAGTTAAATAGAAGGAAACGGGCAAATCACAGGCAACGCACTATAATCCTGATAACCCAGTTAAATAGAAGGAAACGGGCAAATCACAGGCAACGCACTATAATCCTGATAACCCAGTTAAATAGAAGGAAACGGGCAAATCACAGGCAATGCACTATAATCCTGATAACCCAGTTAAATAGAAGGAAACGGGCAAATCACAGGCAATGCACTATAATCCTGATAACCCAGTTAAATAGAAGGAAACGGGCAAATCACAGGCAACGCACTATAATCCTGATAACCCAGTTGAAAAAGGAGAAATACAGGTACAGTCATTTAATATGTAGGCTAACTATTTAACAAACATTGTAATCGTCTAGCCACGTGTACCAAACTGCCCTTCCCAGAATGAATGGTTTAACAGGCGGTTTGAGATCAAAACCAACATTTAGTGAGACGGCCCAGTGAAAAAGCAGATCGTCGTCTACTTGCACGTCACGGCTATACTAAAGGTACGTTATATAGTTGATATTTCCATACATATTTAATGATTATGGGTAGAGTTATATACTTCTGTTCTCAATTACCCAAGGCATCATTATCGTCAATGTTACGTGTTAGTGTGATGTAAATGTAATGGCATGTTATTCTAAATAAAGAAAATCTTTTTAAACGATGTATTCTCCATTTCCATAATAAAAATACACATAATTTTTTGTTATTTCTGTTATACACTAACAAAAACCAGCGATATTTTTTCATCCTAAAGGGATTAAGTGATATATCGAGTGACATGCAAATCCTAAATAAGTTAGATCTAAATATATTGTATACTCTACAACCAGCCCATTCTAAAATTCTAACTGTTGTTTTTAGGCCGTTTGATAAGAAATGGATCTTTGTAATAAAACTACAAAATGAGATTTCTATGTTGATGATGTCGATATTTCAGTAAACATCGTATCAGCGTTATCATAGCGTCACAAAACTGCGTGATGAATATCTTTTGATTGTGACATTGTTTTTAAATACATCAGCAGGACAATGATACATTGTTATACCAAACAAACTCTGGAATAAGTAAAACACAAGTAAATCAGCTTAAAATGGACCATTAACCTTTTAACAACATTTTTATACTAATGATGGTTATGTCCGTCTGCAACAATACAACGTTGGGAAATAGAGGTTAAGCTGTTCAGGGAAGATTCATCATAGCATTGCTTCACTGTAACCTGGCTCCTAAATCGTGGTGTTTGTCATACTAAACCTCAACTACCTAAGTCTGGAGTAACTTGGGTTGTTGAGGATAATATTGTAGTAAAGACCAACACCAGTGCTTAAATATACAGAAAAACGACATATTTTCTTATAATGGTCACATTCACATCGTACTAGTTGCTGTGTATACGCTACCGTAGTACGGATTAATTTATGTATTTACTTACGTCTCAACTTATTGCATAGTATATGTATAAGTCATCATTACAACACACACATGTTAAAACATATTTATCAACACTATAAAATGAGTCATTAACGATAAATGTCAGGTTGATTGAGAAAAGATTTTATTACATTTAAAATTACATCGTGGGGAAGTTATCTAGTTTTGGTGACGTTCCATGTCTTGTATAGCAGCATATGTCTAGTAATGGTCGATAATCAGACATACTTATTAATGGTGAAGCAATTAAAAATATGTCTGCGTTTCGGCGTACATTTTACCCAGGTGATGACGCAGACTGACACCCAAGTACATTCTGAAGGCGTTTTCCAACAGATAACTCTCTCAAGCAAACACGTTTTTCGTTGGTTGAGAGCAAAAATAATAAACATTAGAGACGTTAAAATAAAAATGTATTACACACATGTCGGCTAAACCTACCTTGAGGTGGATAAATTTGAAAACTAACGAAAGATTGCAGTCTTTTTTTTATCAAACTTTACCTGTGTAGTTCCTGTGGTTTACCTTTCGTATCTTACGTTTTGTAGTTACCGTGGTAGCGAGCTGGTGACGATGAATGTGAATGTGATAAAATATTGGGAATAAAAGTTCCTAGCTAAACATTGCTTGTTTTTTTTCTGTTAAATAACATGTTGTAAATTTGATATAAAATGTTTGTCAAAATTGAGTTATATTTTATATCTATGTCGGCTGCTTGTATATCATTAATAATTAATGATCTGAATTAACAAACATTCTCGAATATAAAAAAGTTATCTTCTTCTATGGGATTATAGTGAAAATCATTTATCCACATTAGAACTAGCAAATACATTTAATAGTAATAAGTTGAGTTACTAGAGCTATGTTTTATGAAGGTAAAGTATAAATATAATGTAACTGATGTGTAGTGCTACTTGGTGAAAAAATAATTATATTTTATTAAAACATGAATTTATTTATATTTGTATTTTTAAAGGACATTGACTGAAGTAAACGACACGAGACTTAATTGTTTGTGCTATTAGTAAACCTATTTTGTATGATTGCTTATATAACATACTCATGCATACATGTACATGTTCGATGTAGAACAGGATGGCTCACTTGGCAGAACATTAAACAAGAAATGGTTTTTAATCCAATATGATATTTTACGTATTTTATAACTGTTTTGGTTTATTGAATTTAAAGCTACTTCAACTAAGAGAGTTGATATATGACCAAACGACTCGCTCTTCATTCACATCTATTTTTCATTTAAGGATTGAATCTTGCTTTGGTCGATTTCATGGGGTGATGAATTGAGTTGGTCTTGAAACAAATTTAATGAACTGAGATCAACTCAATTCATCACCCCATGAAATCGACTAAAGCAAGATTCAATCCTTAAATAATTAAAATTAAATCATTAAACAACCACACACTGCCGGGTATGACGTCGATGATCAGCAGACACACCCATCTGATAAGCATTAGTCACGTGCATCCGGACATGCATAATCGTGTGCATCTTCCGTAGGATTCATTAACATCCGGTTAGTAACACCGTCTCGACACAGTCACATTTTTTTGTGGGAAGGTAAATTAACAGAAGTTGACATATCAAACACGACATAGACATTTAAATACGTCGTTTCTTCAGTTGTTCCACATGTTACACACTGCCCCGGTACAGCCGCTGTGATATCTGTTGGAAGATAAATTAACAAAAATATTTAGGTGAGTTTTTTCTTCAGTTGTCAACTTAGAAAACTTATATGGAGCTATTTTTTATATTTAATGCATATTTGTGGAGATTATGCGTTGTTTTATTGTTTCCCGAACAAAGTCTTAGTAAAACGTATTACAAGCAAATATATACATTGCTTTCCCTGTTATTCCAAATTTTTTAACGAACTACAAGTTATAACAAATATTTATAGATAAAAAAATATCATTGTTTTTTGACGTCAAATAGAGAATACATTTATAAAATTGACTATAGGGGGAAAAACCAATAAAAGCTTGCTTAGAGTTAATAATGCTGTGAAATTAGCATCGTACATGCAGTCATAAACCACGGGTGGACATCGACAGATGCCATTTTATAACACCATCTTGAACAATAAATGTGTAATAACGTAAAAAGTTGACTTTTTAAAAATAAAATGTCCAGGCCTGTTGGCAACAATTATGCATTATATACTATATCTTATCCATCTGAACGGTTTTCGCGCGTTCTGTAATAGCATACATCATTTAGTTTAAACATATTTATTGCCGAAATTAGACAAGGGATTAGGCACAAGTTATAACAACTTATCAACGCCTTCTCCCAATATACATTTGAAATGACATTACAATAATGACAATAAATATATACAATTGTTATTACAATTTGAACTCAAAATCTCTTGCTGGATTTAATAAAGTTTTGCACAGATCTAAAAATTGTTTGAGTTAAGGTCCACGGGAAATTGTGAATTGCCAAACAAAAGAATTTCTAAATTTAACGCAACATTCAAATTAATCAAATTTTGAACCAAAATACGTCTTTTGTTTGTAAAAAGTTGACATTCCATAAAATAGTGAAAGACATTTTCACAAGGATGACCACAGTTACAAGATGCACTCTCAACAAGGTTAACACTAAAAAGGTCATAATTAAGGGAACTGCACTGGTGTCGGAGTTTAGTATGCAAGATATTAAGTTTACGATTTCCGATTTTAAAGTAAATAGGTGGACTTGACTGAATATTTGATGTTAAACAGGATTTGAATGAATTAATAGAGGGTAGAGATCGAACCGAATTGTCTAAGTTATTCCAATAGTGAAGAGTAGAAGGTAGAAAAGAAGAATTAGTAAGAGATAATCTGAAAGGAGGAATCCTATAGTTATTATTGTTACGTAAAGCGTAACGATTATTTTCTCCAGATAAAGGCGGCAAAAGATGATTGAAGTAATCAGGAGTTAATTTATTATGCATCTTATACAATAGTTGAAGTTTCCTCCGTTTTCTGCGATTAGATAAAGTTTCAAGACTAGTTTCGTAATATAAAGTATTAATAGGAGTATATGAAGGAAGTCCTAATATAATGCGAGCAGCTTCACGTTGGGCTTTTTCTAACTTTTCAGATTCAAAAACAGTGCAACCGTCCCACAACTCACAAGCATATTCTAAGACAGGTAAAACAAAAGTCTTGTAAATTATTAAAAGAGCATCCCTACTTAATAAGAGTTTCAGTTTCCGTAAGACATTAATTCATTTCATAACAGAAGTGTAAATTCCATTTACATGATCCCCACACTTTGCATTCGAATTAAAAGTTACTCCTAAATGTTTATGACAATCTGTAAAAGTCTTCTTCGATATCGATTGAATTCGAAATAAACAATACATCTGTTTTTTCAGGATTAAAATTAACCAACCAGATTTTTGACCAAGTATTTAAGATCTCTAGGTCTCTATTTAAAGTTTCTTGAATTTCTAGACAAGATGAAGATGACTTAAGTAATGATGTATCGTCTGCAAAAAGACGAGACGTTGATTCAAAAATATCTGCTATGTCATTAATAAATATAAGAAATAAAACTGGGCGAGGAATAGAGCCTTGCGGAACCCCTGCCTCAATTAGACCTACAGAAGAATATGAACTGTTTAAAAATACCTTTTGGTGTCTCTGAGACAAATATTTTTTTAACCACATAAGCAATTCACCTGAAATCCCGTACGATTTTAACTTCACTACAAGACCTCTATGCCAATCCCTATCAAAAGCTTTGGATATGTCACAGAATTCAACACACGTATAGGTTTTTTCATCAAGTGCAATACAAATTTGGTGATATATATCAATGAGTTGATACACTGTAGAATGATCATGCATAAAACCAGATTGATATTTGTAAAACAAAGAATTTTCTATAAAGAATTTGTACGAATGTTTAAAAATCTCTCTTTCAAAAACTTTACCAACAGTGGACAGCAAGGAAATTGGTCTATAATTCGAAGGAGAATGTCTGTCACCCTTTTTAAACAATGGCATGGTATTAGCTAATTTCCATTTATTTGGATAAATCCC